AAGCAGAGGTTGGAGTGATGCCATTGCTGGCTTTGAAGATACAGGATGGGACCAAAAACCATGGAATGTGGGCAGCCTCTAGAAGCTGGAAAAGGCAAGGAAACACATTCTCCCCTAGAGCCTCCAAAAGAATGTAGCCCTGCTGACACCTTGAGTTTAGCCCCATGACACTTCTAACCTATAGAATTATAATAAATCTGTGTTGTTTTGGGAAAATTCCTTGCAATAAATCCCTTAATAAATATGTCCTGTTGGTTCTGCTTCTCTGATTGAACTTTGACTAATAACCACTTGATGGTAACCACTTTGATTCCCTTTTTAAAAAAATATGAAATATCATATTTGTTCAAAAGTTTTCATTGGTAACTCTGTTTTGTTGACACCTTCAGCATTTTCTAAACTCTGGGAACAACGGAATGATGTTCAAGTTTCCACATGTGTGAAATTGGGCTGATCAGTGTACCTCATAGGGTTATTAAAAGGATTAAATAAATTACTGAGCATAATGCACTTGGAATAATGTCTGGTACAAAGTGTTCAAAAAATGTTGGAAGAGATAAAGGACAGAAGAAAGGAGAGAGAGGGAGACAAGCTCTCTGCTTTCAAGGAGATTATATCCTAGAGGGGGAAATGGATGATAAACACAGGAAGGAAGGAAAGGAAGGAGGGAGGGAAGAAGGGAAAAAATATCTGATAGTTATAAGTGTCTCAGAAACACTTACGTTTAAGACTAGACCAGGGGTTGGCAGCCCACGGCAGGCCAGATCCAGACTGCCACCTGTTTTCATATGACCCGTGAGCTAAGAATGGCTTCTATATTTTTAAATGGTTGAAAAAATAAATAAAAAGAACATTGTGTGCCACGTGAAAATCATAAGAAATTCAAACTTCAATATCCATAGAGTTTTACTGGAACACAGCCATGCCTATTTAAATCTTCGATGGCTGCTTTCCCACTGCAATGGCAGAGTTGAGCTGTTGCCACAGATCAGAATGCCCACAGAGCCTAAAATATTTACTGTCTGGCTCTTTACCAAAAAAGTTTGCTGACACCTGCTTTAGACTGAGTGGTCAGGGAGGGCCTCCCTGAGGAGGTGACATTTAAACTGAGACCTGAATGGCAGGAAAGGGGAAGATCAGGGGTAAGAGGGCAGAGAACAGAGAACCAAGGCAAAAGCTTTCTAATCTTACAACAGCCTTCCAAAGAGGGGCTCTGTCAAAACTATGATGGGGCCCTGAGGCTCTGAGGGTGCTGTGGTGTCCCAGGGTCAGAGCCCACAGGTCCCGAGTCGGGGTAGAGAGCCAAAACTGCCTGGCACAAGAGCCTGCCCCTTCTCAGCCTGGCATGGCACATGAACCCAGGAACTGCATGTTGAAAGACTTTATTTGCCTTCCTGGGGACAGTGACTGGGGATTTTAGATTCGTTCCCAGGAATAGGTGAGAAGGGCTGGGATTAGCTTACGGTCCTGAGAGCAGGTGTTCTACGGCCCCCCTGTTGGCAGCAGGTCCAGGACTGGCACAAAGCCCAGATCTGGCCCTGATAGCAGGATCTGTGGCATGGCAGGGAGAACGGGGCAGCCCTCGATGAATTCAGTGCCCTGCTTTCATCCTGGCTGGCCCACAGCTTGTAGCCCAATGCAAGGAAGCCTACCTCCAGCCCAGGGGGGCCCGACTCCAGCCAGGTGGGGTTTTCTGAGGCTGAAGAAGAGTGACAGTCTCAAGCTCTCAGTTAATAAATGTGGCTCAGGGAGAACCCAGTTCTCAATCCTTTATGGGCCAGTTCATTCCTGCCAGGCTCTGTGCTAATGGAGGAAAGTAGGCTGTTAGTCCCATTTTAGAGCCAGAGAAATTAAGGCAGTGAGGAGCAACAGGGGGTAATGGTTAAATCCAAAGACTCTGTACCTGAATCCCAGACTCAGTATTTGCCAGCTGTGTGACTTCAGGCAAGTGGCTTGACTTCTCTGTGCTTCAGTTTACCACTGATGATAATCTCTGCCTGAAAAAAATGTAAGGAATTAAGGAAACAATAGCCCAGCACCACACCCACAGAGCCCATTCTCTCAGCTTTGACAACAGCCTTAAGAGGTCTTGGCGTGGCAGAGGACTCTGGCTTTGAGCCAGACAGAGCTCTTCTCCTCAAGGAGAAGACATCATCCTTGACTCCTCTCTTTCTTTTAAGGGCCACAGTCCATCAGCAAATCCTGCCTTCAATAACCACCCACAGTCCAACCATTCCTGCCATACCCATGGTATCAACTTAATCCAAAGTGCCTTCAGCTCTTGCCCAGATTATTGCAAAGGCCTCTTAGCTGGTCTGAGATCTTCCATCCTTGCCTCCGCCCCCAGGTCTCCACAGCACTCCTCTTTTCAAAACCCTTCTCTTTCCTAACACTTCTGGAGTTAACTAACAACTTTTTTTTTTAATTTTTATGGGAGTATAGTTGATTTACAATGTTGTGTTAGTTTCAGGTGTACAGCAAAGTGAATCAGTTATACATATACGTATATCCACTTTTTTTTTTTTTAAGATTCTTTTCCCATATAGGCCATTACAGAGTATTGAGTAGAGTTCCCTGTGCTATACAGCAGGTTCTTATTAGTTATCTATTTTATATATAGTAGTGTGTATGTCAATCCCAGTCTCCCAATTTATCCCTCCCCCTCTTATCCCCTGGTCACCATAAGTTTGTCTTGTTCATCTGTGACTCTACTTCTGTTTTGTAAATAAGTACATTTGTACCCTTTAAGATTCCACATATAAGCGATATCATATGATATTTGTTTTTCTGTGTCTGACTTACTTCACTCAGTATGACAATCTCTAGGTCCATCATGTTTCTGCAAATGGCATTATTTTGTTCTTTTTTATGGCTGAGTAATATTCCATTCTGTATATGTACCACATCTTCTTTATACATTCCTCTGTCGATGGACATTTAGGTTGCTTCCATGTCCTGGCCACTGTAAACAGTGCTTCAGTGAACATTGGGGTGCATGTATCTTTTTGAATTATGGTTTTCTCTGGGTATATGCCCAGTAGTGGGATTGCTGGGTCATAAGGTAGTTCTATTTTTAGTTTTTTAAGGAACCTCCATACTGTTCTCCACAGTGGCTGTGCTAATTTACATTCCTACCAACAATGTAGGAGAGTTCCCTTTTTTCCACACCCTCTCCAGCATTTACTGTTTGTAGATTTTTTTGATGATGGCCATTCTGACGGATGTGAGGCCATACCTCATTGCAGTTTTGATTTGCATTTCTCTAATAATTAGTGATATTGAGCATATTTTCATGTGCTTTTTGGCCATCTGCATGTCTTCTTTGGAGAAATGTCTATTTAGATCTTCTGCCCATTTTTAAATTTATTTTATTTGTTTACTTTTGGCTGCATTGGGTCTTCGTTGCTGCCCACGGGCTTTCTCCCGTTGCCGCGAGCGGGGGCTACTCTTGGTTATGGTGCGTGGGGCTCTCATTGCGGTGGCTTCTCTTGTTGCAGACCTTGGACTCTAGGCGCGTGGGCTTCAGTAGTTTGTGGCACACGGGCTTAGGTGCTCCACGGCATGTGGGATCTTCCCAGACCAGGGCTCAAACCCGTGTCCCCTGCATTGGCAGGCAGATTCTCAACCACTGCGCCACCAGGGAAGCCCTTCTGTCCATTTTTTATCTGCGTTATTTGTTTTTTTGGTATTGAGTTGCATGAGCTGCATGAGATAATCCCTTGTCGGTTGCTTCATTTGCAAATATTTTCTCCTATTCTGAGAATGAAATTAGAACACTCCCTAACACCATACACAAAAATAAACTCAAAATGGATTATTTATTCAAGGATCATTTTTTCTTGAGTACCTACTATATGCCAGATACTATTCCAGGCACTGGAGATAAAACAGAGAACAAAACTTCTGCATTCAGAAGTTTACATTCTCATGGAGAGAAGGACAATAAACGAATATATAAGTAAAACGTACTATTAATATGTTCAGTGTTCTGTAGGGGAATAACAGAGGGAAGGGAAGAGGGCTTGGGCTTTAGACCCAAGGTGGTCAGAGAAGGTATAATGGACAAAAAAAGGGTAAACAAAAAGCCCAAAGCTGGGAAAGGTGGGAGCCAAGGGGCAACCTAGGAGCCGAGTATCCTTGACTAAGTGCTCAGCAAACACATGGGTGGAAGTGTTCCTGGTGTGTTTTAGGTACCCCGAGGAAGCCACTGTGACCATCGTGGAAAGTGTGCATGAGGAGAAGAGGGGATTGACCTCACGGGGGTAAGGGGGCAGGGTTCAGTCTTGGAGATTCTCCAAGTTTTTTTTTCCTCAGATTGAGATTGGAAGCCAGTGTACATTTTGAGCAGCGGCGTGACTGCAGCTCAAAAGGATCACTGAGGCCGATGTGTGGAAAAGCTTAAAGAACAATAGCAGAGTCAGAAAGAGGGTTTAAGCAGCTATCACAGCTGCTGAGATACGATGGTTTCGACCAGGAAGGGAGGTAACAGCAGAGGTGGTGTCAAACTCAAAGGCCTCATAACAGTGTACCAGCTCTCCCGATGGGGTTCTTCCTACCCCTCCAAACTCACCTTGTTCCTTGTTCCTGTATCCCCAACCCCACAGACCACTGCTAAGCTCATATAGGCGTCTAATGAGTATTTGTTGAGACAATGAACAAATTAATGAACGATCTATCCCTAGATCATCATCACCTATTTTAACGATAGGCATATGGTCAGAACTCAATGTTTGCAGACAGAATACCGCACGATTCTGCTAAACCCAGGTGGCTAGGTCTCTTCACAGCTGGGGAAAACTGAGATTGGGGAAGTATATACCTGGGGTCCCTCTGCACAGCTTACGCTAGAAGCTTCCTTCCCAACTTCAGCATGGCGAATTCCTGGACACTGAGAAGAAAGAGCTTGCTTTCAGGGTGCGTCACAGTGACGTCACAGGAGTTTCCCCCAAAATGTCCCTACCCTGTGGAAGGGAAAAACTGGAATCTCGTAGGGCCGGAGGGTCAAAACACTCAGGCCAGACAGACGCTCGCAACGTTCCCGGAAGACCTCCCACCCTCGGGCCATAGAGACGAAAGGACAGAAGTGCCACCCTTGCGCAGCCGAGACCCCGCCCCCGTTCCGCGCCTCCAGCGGAAGCCGGAAGCAAAAGCGGGCCCTGCTAGCCCCGCGGCTCGGTGGTCTCGGAGGCTCCGCAGGATTGGGGAGAAGATGGCGGAAGAGGAGTGAGTGGGTTTTTCCGGGGCGGCGGAGGCGGCAGGGCTGGGCCCCATCGGGTGACTGCGAGCACCTCAGGCCGCCCTCCGGCCCCAGAAGGCGGAGCTCTTTGTGCTGGTTGGCCAGGACTGACCATGCCGGCGCCTGCGAGGAGGGCTGGAGGGACGGGCCTGGGCCGTGCAGCCTCCTAGAGGTTGGACCCTCTGGCTAGGGATCGGCTGCCCAGCATAGGTCTCGAAAGCCGTCTTGCGGAAACCGCAAGCCAAATTTCACTTTCCTAGTTTTCGCATCCGCTGATTACGCAGCGCTTCGCTGCCTCCAGAAAGTCCCCCAGCTGCACCCCTTACGTAGCCAGTCACCTCCTCCATTGTAATGACTATTTTTCACATCTGTTTCCTTCAGTGAGTTTCATTTATTCGTTAACTGCTGGCCATCTACTCTATATCAGGCCCTGGTCACATGGTAGTGAAGGAGGCCGACCCTGAGCCGCTCTCAGGGACCTTCCATTCTAGTGGAAAAAGAAGACCATAAATAGACTAGATGATTTCAGTGCTCTGGAGGAAACGGAGTGGTGTTGGTGTGTGGGAGGCTTCTCGGGAAGAGGTGACGTGCCACATGAAACCTTAGTGACCAGAAGGAGGGATAGGAGAGGAAACAAAAGGTGCAAAAGGCCAGGAGCAAGAAAGAGCCTAGTGCCTTTTTGAGGGACAGAAAGAACGGCAGGATGGCTGGAGTGTGGAGAGCAAGGGAGCTAACTGTACAAGATGAGATAAAGGGGGTGAAGGTGCCTCTGTCCTCCTGGTGCTGCTGGGGAAGGACCACTCGCAGTCCATCTACATACCTGCCAGGCACAGTCTGTTGCATGTTATAGGTGCCCCATCTATATTTGTGGAATGAGTATGTGAAAATGAACAAGGAACCAACCCCATGGTTGAACTTTGACTTCCTCACCTGACAACTTTTCATGCATGTCTTTTGGCCTGGTGGTCATTTCATTTAGTCACATTACTTATTGAGCATCTTCTCTGTCCCAGACACGAAATTGAGCCTCAGCAGCACAAAGCAAAAGAGGTGGTATGACTCAGTGATTTCAAGTTTGGACTTAAAGCTTGATTCTGCCACTGACTGATACTCGCCAAGTTATGCAATCTTTCTGAGCTTGTTATTCATGGGTAAAAAAGAGAAAGGAGTAGTGTCCACCTCAGGCTTATTAGGCCCATTAAATGAGACTTGGTATGTTACCTGGTTTCTGGAATTAAGCGGTACTCATAAAACATTAGTTGTTATAATCACAGTTACAGTGATCATTATGTCAATATCGTGCTAGTTTACAATCCCAACACAGTGTGAGGAGATAGTGTGAGGAACACAGCAGTAGTGTGGAGGAGGAGATTACAGAGGGGATTACATTTGGGCTTTTTGAACTCAGAGAAGGTTTTTGTAAAGTAGGGTAGAGCATTCTGACCAGATCAACAACTGGGCAAATTCAGTGGCTTCTTCAGCTTGCAGACTACCATCTAAGGAAAAGAATGTAAACTGGAGAAATAAGGCACTTAGTAAATAATGTTGGACCTTGGAATATGATGAGACTCCAGTTTGCTTCCCTTTAAATCCCCCATTAAGTGCCAAAGAGCAGACAGCCTTTGATTCTACACCGGTCCTGATTCCCCCTTGTCCCTGTCCTCTAAGTGTTTGCGTTCAGAGTACCTGAGGCCACTGGTACCCTCGTGCTGCAGCAGGAGGGAATCTTCCTAATCAGTTTCTCTCCGAGGCCTGCCTCTTGGCTGCAAGGGTTGTGAATCCCATCAAGCTCCGTGCCAAAGTTCTCTGTCTGGTTTGTGTGTGTGTGTTGGTAATTCGGGGCCCTTTTTCCTTTGTCTAATTCCGCTGCTTTTTATGTTCTCCAACAGGTTCTCCAATACAACTCATGAAGGTTTCAATGTCACCCTTCACACCACCCTGGCGGTCACTACGAAACTGGTGCGCCCGAGCCCCGCTAAGCCCATCCTCCCGGTGCAGACGGGGCAGCAGGCTCAGCAGGAGGAGCAGTCGAGCGGCATGACCATTTTCTTCAGCCTCCTGGTGCTCGGTGAGTGCGGGCCGCGGTGAGTGTGGCCCTCCGTGAGTGCGGCCTGCGGTGAGTGCGGCCCGCGGTGGGTGCGGCCCTTGGTGAGTGCGGGCCGCGGTGAGTGCGGCCCGCGGTGGGTGCGGCCCGGGGTGAGTGCGGGCCGCGGTGAGTGCGGCCCTCGGTGAGTGTGGCCCTCGGTGAGTGCGGCCCTGAGTGCGGCCCTCGGTGAGTGCGTGCGGCCCGCGGTGAGTGCGTGCGGAGACACCATCATCTGGCATTGAGAGTGTCTGTGTGTGCTGTTTGTGTGGTCAACCCCGTGTCAACCACTGTTGACTTGGTCAAGTCTTCCTGCTGTTTGGTTTTCACTTCAAACGCAGAGGGTCAGTGATCAGTCCGTTCATAACATCATAACAGGGTACTCCTTTTTCTTTATAAAATCATTGAGCTGAGCAATTCTGAAGAGCCCTTTATATATCTTAGACATCCTATGAAAGGAAAAATTAAAGAATTTTTGCTCTAGAGAGAACTTTGAACATCTAGTTGAGTGTATTTCAGACTCCTCTCCTGAGAGTCTCTGTGTGTTTCTGTGTAGGTGGTGGTAGGAGCAGGGGGTGGGGTGGGGCGTGAAATGGCAGAGCATCCAGCTTTCTGACCAGAGCAGCATTTTGTCCCTCGTACCCGTTAGGCCTCCACGTAAAATTTTACTTAGTTAAGAGGTTTGCTGTGAGTAAAAGATCACACACCCTTGCCCTAGCACACAGTTTTCCTTAACTTCCGTCATTCCCATTAACCATGGTCGTGACTTTTGCCATATCTATGTACCACCTGTGATGTTATTTACCTATATAATGTTTTTCTTTAAACAGATTCACTCTCTCAAACTGAAAATCTCATTTTATTCGACTTCCTTCTTTAACAGGTGAAGAAATTTAGGCCCAGAGAGGTTAAATTATTGACAGACCTGGTTTGGGGGAGACTAGAGGCTAATATCCAGGTTGCCAGACATCGGTCAAGAAGTTTAGATAAAAGGCAGTAACTTAGCTGCCCCCCAGAGACTATGGACAGTAGACACCTGTTTTAGTCCAGAAGACCAGTTGAAACTGCACAACCACTTTGGATCAGCTAAAGAAGAAATAGCTTCAAATATGACCCTCCAAACTTTTGTTTGAAGAGTGAAGTTGGAACGTTTACATTTTCTGCTTCTCTTTAATGATACTGAGTCATATTTCTGATTAGATCTTTTCATAAGAAAGGAAGGTACAAAAAAATGGAAAAGTGCAGAGTATTTCCATAGCCATAATAGATGGCTATTAGGACTGTTTTTTTGAGGAAAAGTGTAACTTCTTTCACATTTCTATTCAGACTCTGTTAATTAAATAATTTTAATAAGATACTAATTTTATTTAAAATCCCAGGACTCATCCTTGTCTTTCATAGTTTTTAAAAAACTTCTAAGTTGTACACTGAAAAAGTACACAAACCACAAGTGTACAATGTCCATTTAGATTTGATATGCCCAAATAATTTTTTACTCTTTCAGCGTAATTGAATTCTATTTCTAGGGGATTACTTTAACAATCAAGGAATCTTGTTTTGTTTTCTTTTTTTTCCTTTTGTTACAGTAGTTGAATACAAAGAAGAAAAGCAGTTCTTCCCTTGATCAAGAAGTCTTTAGTACCTGAATCCTTAAACCTGAAAGAGTATTATTAGTCTATTTACATTGTTGTCAGCATGATATGTTAGGAAATATAAAAGGCAAGCCTTGGGAAAAAAAACTTCTGTTTTGTAATCACTTTTTTCACCGGAGGGTGAGAAAGATAAGGCTTTCAAAGTAACTTTCAGGGTGTGGAGCGTCTAGGATTAGCTTGTGCCCGAGATCACAAAACAGGTTTTTATGATGTGCTTTTTAATCCAGACAAAATCCTGCCCACTTTTGGCCTCTTTGAGGCCAAAAAGGGCTGAACTGTATTTAGTAGTGCTGAATATTTCTATTGGATTGTCTTCTCTTTAAACAGATCATAAACCTATACTTTAGAATCATACTGATGTCAGATGGTTTCAGTTTTCACCTAATCAGTTGATGAGTTGGTATCTCCACTTTTTATGTGTAGGTCAGCATACATTAGAAGAGTGGAATGCTTTCTAAGTAAATTTGAAGGCATTTTTTTCCTCTGTTCTTGTATATCAACAAATTATTAAGTATCTTGTATATTTATTTGTGATTATGTGTCCAAACAGTGTAAATCTGATAAAGAAAAATAAAATGGCTGTTAATAGGTAACTTGCCAGCTCACTAAATATATAGACTAGTGAATTGCGGGAAATAGTCCATAGATTATTCTAGACTTCAGGAACTCATAACCTGGAACGGATTTACCACTTTTGTTTACTATTTTAGTCAGGTCAAATGAAATTGTAACTTTTGTGTGGAAAGGATGCCAAAACTCTGGTTACTTTTGACTTTTAGAAGCTTGAAATCAGTTGACTTACACTTAACCCTTGCTGATCTTTGACTCCACAGAGACAATAGTGAGTCATTATTATTGACTTAGAGTTAACTATTAGCATCATTTGACACATTTTATGGGCCATTAAATTTAATGGAGTTGTTAAAATTGACATGCCTATGTTTCAATATATTTTCTGTAATTAAAACTTCAGGCATGAAAAATTGGAAACATTAACTTGTACCCATACCCTCCATATGGCACAGAAGTTTTTGTCCCTTCTTGCTCTGTTTTTTCCCAAGTGTACTTGAAAACATGCACTTGTATGTGTATATATACATGTGTACATTCGTAAGCACATACACACCAACAGGCACATATAGTTTGGAGTTTGTTTTAATACAAGTGGGGTCCTATAACTTGCCTTTTCATCTTACAGAATGTCTTGGAGATTTTTCCATGTTAGTCTTTTTGTATCTACCTCATTCTTTTTTTAAGAAAAAGGATGTGTATGTGGTAAAATAAACATAACATAAAATTTACCATTTCAAAGTGCACTATTTAGTGGCATTTAGTACATTCACAGTACTGGGCAACCATCACCATTATCTAGTTCTAGAACATTTTCATCACCCTAAAAGGAAACCCAGTTCCTATTAAAAGCAGTCCCTCCCCATTCCGTCCCCTCAGTCTCTGGTAAACACTGTTCTGCTGTCTCTAGGAATTTGCCTACTCAGAATATCTCATACAATTGGAACCATACAATATGTGACCTTTTATGTCTGGCTTCTTTCACTTGGCATATGTTTTCAAGCTTCATCCATGTTGTGGCATGTCAGAATTCCCTTCCTTTTTTATGGCTGAATAATATTCCACATTATGTTTATCCATTCATCACTTGATGGGCATTTGGGTTGTTTCCACCTTTTGGCTACTGTGAATAGTGCGGCTATGAACATTTTTGTACTTTTTTTTTTTTTTTTTCTTTTGCGGTATGTGGGCCTCTCACTGTTATGGCCTCTCCCATTGTGGAGCACAGGCTCCGGATGCACAGGCCCAGCGGCCGTGGCTCATGGGCCCAGCCGCTCCACGGCATGTGGGATCTTCCTGGACTGGGGCATGAACCCGTGTCCCCTGCATCGGCAGGCAGACTCTCAACCACTGCGCCACCAGGGAAGCCCCTTTGTACGGGTTTTTATGTGGGCATATGTTTTTATTTCTGTTGGGTACATACTTAGGAGTGGAATTGCTGGGTTAAGTGGTTACTGTATGTGTAACTTTCTCAGGAACTGCCAAACTTTTCCACAGAGGCTGCACCATTTTACATTCCCACCAGCAATGCACAAGGGTTCCAGTTTCTCTCCATCCTTGTCAACACTTGTTATGTTAATTATAGCCTAGGGTGTGAAGTTTTATCTCATTGTGTTGGTTTTTTTTTTGTTTCTCATTGTGGGTTTTTTTGTTTTGTTTTGTTTTGTTTTTTGCTGTACGCGGTCCTCTCACTGCTGTGGCCTCTCCCATTGCGGAGCACAGGCTCTGGACACGCAGGCTCAGCGGCCATGGCTCACGGGCCCAGCCGCTCCGCGGCATGTGGGATCCTCCTGGACCGGGGCACGAACCTGAGTCCCCTGCATCGGCAGGTGGACTCTCAACCACTGCGCCACCAGGGATGTCCTCATTGTGGTTTTGATTTGCATTTTTCTGATGATTAATGCTGATGAGCATCTTTTCATGTGTTTATTGGCCATTTGCATCTCTTTAGAGAAGTGTCAGTTTAAGTCTTTTGCCCATTTTAAAATTGTGTTGTCTTTTTGTTGTTGAGTTGTCAGAGTTCTTTATATACTCTGGACACTAGACCTTTATCAGACATATGACTTAAAAATATTTTCTCCGATTCTATGGGTTGTCTTTGCAGATCTCCTTCTTTTTATAGCTGAAGACCATTCCCTGGCATTGATCATTCTTACATGTAGCTCTCTCCATTGAGAGAGCTTTCTCTTTTGCTCTTAAAGCTGCAAATAGTTGTGGGACTTATGAGAAGAAACTGTAAACTTTTTTCATCCAGCTTGGTGCAAAGAAAGAGCAGAAACTGATTCCACTCCTTACATCAATTTTCTGTCTACTTATGTGCTTACCTGCCTGCCTTTTTAGGCAATAGGCGTTCTCATTGGTTACATGTACTAATGCATTGGAACTTTTTTCTTGCTGTTAGTATTTAATGTAGGATTTTTCTAACTAGGCTAAATATTTATAATAAAATAACACCACAGATTGATAGTTTAGAGCACAGAATGAAAGGAGGACAAAATTTCTGTATTTACAGCTGTTTCCTTTCTCTGGCCACCTGGTGCTTCTTGGTGGGACTAAAGATAATCTAATTTGTCAGTGTGGGCTCTGAGGGTGGCCAGTTCACAGCCATGCAGATTGTTTAAACATTTCCTTTTACAAAAAAAAAAAAAAGGCAACACATTTATTTTTAGTACTATCAAGGTAATACTTTGATTGATGAGATGGCATACCACCTAGGTGCCTAGTAAGAGAAAAAGACATGCACACTAACATTTGGGTCTTGAAATTACATTTAGGAGTTATTTATGCAAAAGTGTGCTTTTTTTTTTTGTTCAGAAATATGTATTCCTTTCAAATAGTTTTACATCTTTCTGTTTCTTTTCTTTCATGACAACACCCCTGTGAGGAAAGTCAGACGTTATTCTTATTTTGCTGGTTGAGGAATGAAGGCCGCAGGGAGGGAGGTGGTGGGTGCCCAGGATTAAGGGCACAGGGTTGGAATTAAGCTCAACCCTGTGGCGCCTACCAGCGGTGTGACCTCTCTAAGCCTCGGCTTTTATCTTGAATCAAAGGAGGTAGTGGTGATAACAGCTCATTCAGAGAGGGGTGTTGAGGGTCAAATGAGACAGCGTTTGGGAAGTGCTCGATACAGTGCCTGGCTCATGGGAAGCCCTCAATCAGTGGGAGCCCCAGTACCCATCTGGGGAGCAAACACCCCATCTTCAAGTCTCTGATGCTCTTATCACCAAACCAATATTAACTTTGTTCTGTTTTTTTTTTGTTGTTGTTCTTCTTTTGTGTGTGTGTGTGTGTGTGTGTTCTGTTTTTTAAAACACCATTACTTCCTTCTGCATTAAAAGAGAACAATCATGTGGTGGCAAGATACTTTGTGTCAACATATATTCTGTTGCAGCTCTAGTTGCATAAAAGTGATTGATTTCATTAACTTCCTCCTCACCATTGAGGATCATTTCTCAGAATCAGGGAAATTTGAATAATTTTAAGTGGTTGCATAAGGTTTACAGCTTAGAATAGCGGTAGATGTCTGTTGCTCTTTCGACAACTGGAAAACAAACTGGTTCAGGCATGTAAAGAAATACGGAGAAAATGTAGTGAACACCATGCAGCTACCTCCTGGTTAAGAAATAAGAAATTGAAAACACAGCTGAAGTTTACTGTGTCATTGTCAGTTGTCCATTTCCCTGGCAGCCTCCTAGAAATAACCCCTGCCTTGGACTTGGTGTTTATCATTCAAAGTTGGGCTGTTTTCTAGGGGCAGGACAGGAATAAAGACGAAGACGTAGAGAATGGACTTGAGGACATGGGGAGGGGGAAGGGTAAGCTGGGGCAAAGTGAGAGTGGCATGGACATATATACACTACCAAATGTAAAATAGATAGCTAGTGGGAAGCAGCCGCATAGCATAGGGAGATCAGCTCAGTGCTTTGTGACCACCTAGAGGGGTGGGTTAGGGAGGGTGGGAGGGAGACGCACGAGGGAGGAGATATGGGGATATATGTATACTATAGCTGATTCACTTTGTTATAAAGCAGAAACTAACACACCATTGTTAAGCAATTATACTCCAATAAAGATGTTAAAAAAATAATTTTAAAAAAAGTCTTATTTTTTCCCACAGCTATCTGCATCATATTGGTGCATCTACTGATCCGATACAGATTACATTTCTTGCCAGAGAGCGTTGCTGTTGTCTCTTTAGGTAAGTGCTTATTGGTGATCCTATAATAAAAGCACTAACTATACCACTTTTTGAGTGCCTCCAAAGTGCTAGGAACCACAAGAGATGTGGTGTATACCTGAGCTCATTTCATTGTCACTGCAAGCTGCCATGAGGGTGTTATGATCCCATTTTACAGATGAGGACACTGGGGGCTCAGGCATGATGACCTCCTAAAGGTCACATAGAAGCCCCTCTATCCAACTTGAGAGCCCTTTCTACTTCTAGAACCACCTTCAGGGCACATCCAAGGCTTTTATCCGCTTATTATATTGTAGTTACTTTATTTCTAGTTTCAAGTTGCCTACCAATGATATTTATTTTTTTCTTATCACCACTGCTTTTTAAGTTAATTTTATATATAAAATTATATATACTTTATAAGTTTTCTTTGCCTTGTAGATCTGGTTTAGTATATTTAGAAATTCTTTCCCAATATAGCGATGGTTTGGGTTAGCTTTGGAAATGAACATTCACACTGTTTATTCTAAGGTCTACTACTAGGCTGTGCTGTCACTCGACTAAGGCGAAGAATTGACAGTTAATTCATAGAAACACTGAATTTTACAGCCGGAAGAGGCTCTCACTTTAAGGTTTAGGATGGAGGAATGGCTCACTTTAATGTCAGTCAGATCTAAGGTCTTCAGAGAGCATTCCATTCTACCTCACTTATATTTCCCTCTTTTGTTTCCTGTGGCAATTAGCTGTTAAGATAATTAGCCTCTATTTAGAATGTATGAATCACTGTAATCACAGTTGACCTCACATGTAAGTTCATTGAAGTGGTTAATGAAGCAGGGACCTTACTTTTCAGTAAGTATTAAAATGAAGATGTAGGTGGGGAAGCTTAAGGGATAGTAAATAGGGTTTCACTAAGGCCAGCCAAAGCTTTCATCAGCCTATTATATTGTAGTTACTTTTACTAGCTTCCACTTGCCTACTGATAATATTTAATTTTCCTTATCACCACTGGTGCTTTATAAGTTAATTTTCTTTGCCTTAGATCTGGTTTAGTATAGTATTTAGTATTTTTCGCAATATATCAGCAGCTTAGGTTAGCTTTAGAAATGAATGATCAGACTCTGTTCATTCTCCTTCCCCTACCAGTACCAGCATTCCTACTACTCTGTTTCAGCCCCTCCTATATTTTCCCTGGACTTCACAGTACTACTAAGTGCCAGGTTCTGGCCTATGAGCTTTCACATTGCCATCTCATTTAAGTCCCGTAACCCCCAGGTGATGCCATATTTTAAGGAAGATGTACCACTGGATAATTTTGATCTTCAGTAAAGAGTTAGAAATCAATTTTACTCAGAGTTCCTGCTCTCTACTGAGCAGTCTCTTCAGCTACACATCCTGGCAGATTCTAACAAACTTAGTTAACAAGAGCCTTAGAGCTCTAAGAAGAGGAGGATCATTTGTTAGCATTCCTTTCCTGATATTAGGCACCTCGAAAATAACCTATATAGCTAATACCTATTATTCTGGGGCATTCAGTAAAGACTTAAAAAGCCACTGCAAGGAAGTTACAGTTTTGTGGTCAGTTTACATAGTTTCTTAAGAATAAGACCTATAGTTGGTGTGTATTTAGGTATTGTGCACATGGAAATTTAAGTGGTGGTTCTTGTAATTTGGTTTGGAATGTCAGGTTCCTCACTGTCTCTTGAATGTTTCAGTAACTGCAGGTCACTGAACACCAGTGCTTGTACAAGGACTTACAGCGACATTGTTGTGTGCCTACCTAAGGGCCACTCCCCCTCCATGAAAACAGAACCCTCGCTTTGACCCCGTGTCTTTCCACAGTGTGGTCAAGGAAGGTGGGCCCCTCCTCCAGGTCAAGATTGGTTTTCTCCATCGTGGTAATTGTTTCAAAGGGGTGGAGGCAGCAGGCAGTGTGAAACCCAGGTCTGGCCAGTGAGACCGAGGGGAAGTGTGCTGGGGTGAGGAGTTTTGGAAACATTTTTCCTCTCTGATAAAAAGAGAAATTTCCCCTTCCTTTGATGCTGTTGTATGAGGATGTGATGCCAGGAGCACTGGTAGCCATCTTGCAATCACTGTGGCTCAAAGACGAAGCCAGAATGCTGAGGCTTGCCAAGGGGACAGATGGGAAGCCCAGATTCTTGACTGCACTGTTGTTTTGTAGAATTGATAGCCCCGAAACTACCTATCTCAGAGCTGCCTGTTACATGAGATAATAAACATCCATTGTTTAAGCCATTTTTAGTCAGGTGTTCTTTTACTTGCAGAGGAAAACATCTTAACTGATATAGGACTCTTTCCATTCAATGGACAAAATCAATTCAAAATGATTCAAAGAAAACAGATATTGGTGTGGGTGGAGTTGCACACCCATTGGCTCATGGCACCAAAAAACCTACAGGCAGTGCCAGCTTCAGACTTCGCTGGATCAAGTCTCCCGGACTCCGTTTTTCTCCATTCTCAACAGTGCTTCCCTTTGTTTTGGCTTCACTCTAAGGCGGGGTCTCTCTACATGGTAAGACTTGACAGCTTCAGGCTTGCTGTCCTTACAGTAGCAGTCACGCTGGGAAAGGTGGCCTCCTCTTCCCCCTGCTTCCACCAGAAGTTGTAGGATGAAGTCTGACCAAATGGCCACCCCAGAACTGGACATGGAGTGGAGCAGTGCCGGGGGTCAGCAAAGGCTGTCCGTCCACAAGGTTTCTTTCTTTGCTGATGTTGCGCAAATAACTGTAGCCTATACAGCTAGGGCTTGGGAGTGGGTGATGGAAAGTCAGTCTTGCTTTCAGTACTTATTTGCTAACTCAGGTGATTGGAATACTAAGAGCACTTCTAGGGAGAGTACTGGGGTCCAGAAAGGACTTTTTGTTATATTAGAGGACATTTGGTTAAAATTTAGAAATGCTGACAAAGCTATCAAAGTAGTTCTGTATTTCATAAAGCTATGTAAATGGAAGGAAAACTTCTTTCTCCTACTGGAGCAAAGTGTAACAAAATATTGAGATATCCACCGTTTCAAGAATTTCCAACTTTTGTGCCAAAAAAGAATCTAGATGAAGCTGCCAGAGAAAATGGGGTTTTCATTCTTTCAGGGGTAAGTTTTCCTAGCCTACTTTTTCTAACCAGAAGTTACTTTTTAGTCCACAGTCATTTAGAGATACTGTTGGCCTTTTTTTTTTTTTTTTTTTTTGCGGTACGCGGGCCTCTCGCTGTTGTGGCCTCTCCCGTTGCGGAGCAGAGGCTCCGGACGCGCAGGCTCAGCGGCCATGGCTCACGGGCCCAGCCGCTCCGCGGCATGTGGGATCTTCCCGGACCGGGGCACGAACCCGGTCCCTTGAATCGGCAGGCGGACTCTCAACCACTACGCCACCAGGGAAGCCCACTGTTGGCCTTTTGTGTTAAGCATTCAGAGTTCCTAAGAAGTCGTAGGTATAGAAGAGGACTATCTGTACTCAAAAAGCACATTTCCGCTCTTCTATTTTATTGTATTTTCAAATGAATCGAGACTTTTTTCATTCTTTATAAAAGCATAGTATCAACATGAAGTTCTAAAGCTATTTCCTTGGCCCTTGTTCAAAGCTTTCAGATACTTTCTATACTTAGGGAATTCTGTAGTTCGGGCCTTTAAAAAATGTATATATATATTTTTCACACTTAGCTATAAAGAAGAAAAATCCTTTTCATTGACAACCAGCTCTTTTTATCATGCTTCCTTCTCTTCCAAACCACGTGTAGACGCACACATGCCCATCAGATGACTTGACTTGGTTTGAGCTTCAATCATTTTTTGTGTTCTTCACTTTTTACTGTTCTTTCCATGTATTAGTAAAGTTCACATATTTATTTTTATTGGCCATATAGTGCTGATTCACTGTTCATATATTTTGGGCTGAAATTGGTAAGGAGTGAAAATGAAATAGTTGTACTGCCTACTGTCCTCTGTTGTATATAGCAAAAATAGGAATAAATTTTTTTTTCATAGTCATACTTTATCGTAGAGTGAGGAAAGGCCTGAGTGGGGCTAAGAATGGAATTTGACTACAAAATGCCAGGGTTTAGCCTGAATACCGCTGATAGTTAGAAAAACCGTATTTTAACTTGTAACTGGATCTGATTGAATCATTGAATAAATAGGAGTACACAAATGTGCTTCCTTGTCATAACCTGCTTAACTATGTTTGTGCTTTTAGTTATATTAACTCCTTGTTTTGACTAAAGGATTGAAATTTTTTTTTTTTTTTAAGAGTAGGGCTCTTTTTGTCAATGGGGGTTTTGAGTGGAAGACGAAAAAAAAATCACTCAGTTCCTGAGTTGTTGACTGAAGGTAATTCTGGGAAAAAGTATATATATAGTGATTGTATTCTAATTGTACTTAAGTTCTAAAAACGTTTTTTTTAGAGAAAACTTAAAGCAAGAATCCTGACTGTAACTCTAACAGCTTTCCTGACTTTTTAGACTGTGAGAGTCCAATTGTGATGCAGCTTGAGCTGTCCCATGGGTAACTCTCCCTGAGTCTCAGGTACTTTGATTTTTGTTAGAGAAGAAACAGGCATTCATTTGTTGGCATTAGAGTAGCTGTCTCAGAGGTAGAGGCCAAAATTGGTTGTCACATTGACAAAATGATCACCTTAGACTCTAAGGATTTTCAGGGCTGTCGCATTCCAAGGAAGAGTGCTAGCGCAGACTTTTAGCCTCTGTGTTTCTGGAAACATGGCTCAGAGGTGACAATTTATTCTTGGAACATCTTGTTGCTCGTTAGCTGCCGTTAGCTAAACGTGTGCTCTGTGTGTAATAGTGCATATGCTTTTGCCTGGAGTCTTGCTCTGATTCTCCTTAGTTTTATGGTCACCTGCTCTTGGCTCAGCATTTTTTCATCTTAAAGTTGTATTTTATACTTAAATCTTTTAGATATGTCAGAATAGCGAGGTAGTCTGAACTTTAAAGGAAGAAAGGTTGTTAAAGGATTGCATTTGGAAACTTGCTACATCTGGGCTGATTTCTATAAA